TAAATGCTATATAAAGTTGAATTGAGTCTCGCATGAGGTAAGACAGTTCCTCGTGGTATATGCGCGCGCACACACACACACAACAGTGAAGTTTATTTCTTTAGAATTGAAAAAAATTGAATAACAAAAATCAAAAATTATACAAACTTACCGAGCTAGAGTTACCGGAAGTAGGTAATCTTGGCCCGATTGCAAGTGTTCAGTGAGCGAAGGAAAATGCGGGAGTCTTGAGCCGTTCGAATGTTCATAACCTCGGTCCGGGGTACTTGGATACGTCTTTGAATGTCCCACTCCTCTACCCTATACTAGTCATCTCGTACCATTATCCAACTCCTCTACCCTATACTAGTCATCTCTTATCATTATATCTATAAATTATTGGAGAAAAAATTAGTTATGGAATTTATATACAAAATAATTTTTTTTACTGGTAAAATACTTTCACGGATAATTTGAAAAAAAATTAGCATGGATAACTATATAAAAAAAACTAGTAATCTAACCAAAAATCACCTATATGCCTATATTTTAATCACTAAATTTAAGAATTTTAGTTAAATTATTAAATAATATTTTTTTAGTTATACAACCGATTGACCCTAATTTGAACCTACACATTTGGCATATCAACATCAAAATGAGAATCTACTAGAAACTCATAAGCTATGGTTGATGTCATTGTAAATATAACGAGTACTATTTTTTTTTTATTATGTAACTATTTTTGTGAAACGGTAAAGAGATGACTCCGTGGATTAATATTTTCTGTAAAAAAATTAGTAAAGTGTTGAGAATAGATCCCCATACAAAAATTACACAAAAATCAGGAAAAAAAAATCAAATTCATAAGAGCATCCGTATCCATGAACTTTTGAGGATATTATTAAATATAAAATTATTAAAAACACACTCTCTCTTCCTTTTACTTAACTTTATACATTCTCTTTCATCTTTTTACTCAACTTTTATTAATTTTATACTCTCTTTAAATATAAAATTATTAAAAACACACTCTTTCTTTCTTTTACTTAACTTTATACCTTCTCTTTCATCTTTTTACTAAACTTTTATTAATTTTATACTCTCTTTAAATATAAAATTATTAAAAACACACTCTTTCTCTCTTCAAAAGTATAACTATTTGATACTTTTGATACTCTCTCTCTAAAAATATCCACTATCTCTTCTTTTTACTCAAATTTATTAATTTTATATTTTAATACATCCCATTATTTCAACAAAAACACTTTTTTTCTTTTTTTTACTCAAATTTTAATAATTTTATATTTAATGATACCCACCAAAATTCACCAAAATACGGATGCTCTAAGAAGAAAAAATAAAATAAAGGAAAACACAAAAAGTGTGGCAACGAAACAGAGAGGGAATTACAAGGGGAGAAGACGTAGACCATACAATACACAAAAACTATATCTCCTCACTAATCTCAATCCTTTAG